AACTCATGATTAGACAAACTGTCCTTAAGTATAAGAAACTTAACAAAATACTATATTTTTTAAATAAACTTTTATGAAACACTTGTGAACACGAATGAATTATTTGAGGATTGAAGTTCAACTAAGGTAAAATTCGTCATTATAGATATCTTGATCAAAACATAATATTCATCTGATATAATGACACATTTATTTTGAAAACACAGTTCTTAAGTACGTGAGCGCCACTGTACAAGGTTTAGACACATGATAGCCTTACCCACAAGTATTTTAGAAATTCAGTCAGTAAATGAAAACAAAACTCAATTTACAATTATAGATATTCAAGTTTTTATTTAATGAATTCAGAGGTCATACATTCATTTGTTATTTTCAGAAAAAAGCAAATCTAGTAGGTAAAGTTTTTCAGTAATGCTGAAAGTTTTCGTCCTAATTTTTTCACAGAATATAGATGTCTTGGTTTGAAAATAACCATTCACCACGTGGTGAGTCATCAAAGAAGATAGATACTTAATTAAATAAATAACCAATCACTTTTCCTAATCTTTTTATATATATATAATTTATGATTAAACTACATCCATGTAGAAAGATACTCTGGAAATAATTTTCATTAAAATGTCCAATGCCTGCCTCCCTTTAGAATTTTGATCTTTCAAAATCCATCAATTTGTGATGGAAAGAGGGTTCTTTAACAATTCACTTATTTCGTTTAAAGGTATAATGTATACCGGGCGTGGCCAAGCTGCTTGATAGTCGAGCCATTTTTCAAAATTTGAAGTTTTTCGCAAGTCACAATTAAATACGTATTTAAAAGGTATTAAAACTTTTTTTACATTAATTATATTTATTGAAAACATATAAGTAAAAGTACAAAATATGTGTATTGAATTTAATTATTAAAAATTAAACGCATTTAATTTACTTCTGGATAATTCTTTAAAATTTGGTGACAGCACTTCTCAGTAATTCCTTGAGATGCTGGTTATTTAAGACTGATCGGTGTTTGGATTTCACGAATTTTAAAGTGGAATAAAATTATTCACATAAGTACGTTGTCCGAATATTGAAATAATTCGACAAGCAGCCTTTTTTCATTCAGGATACTTCCATTCTGGTAAAAATTTCCAAAATTCAGTAAGCGGTGTCAACTTATATTTTAATTGTAAAGCTTGATCTTCTTGCATCTCTATTAATTCTAATTCTCCAGATGCTTTTTGTGTCATAATTATATTAGAAATGGAAAACTCACCTTGAATTGAACAATGTTGCACTTAGTTTTTCATATTTGTTCTCAGTAATTTAAAAGACGTTTTGAAACACATATGGAACGATAATAATTTTTTTTTAAAATAATAGCACGAAAGGGAACTCTGGTGCATTTATCGAGAGCCTCAAATAATCCTTCAAAGAACCGCATGTGGCTCGCGAGCTGCGGGTTGACCACCTATGATGTATACATTAAATGTATCGCCGAATATTTTTAACTGAAGATCTTAAAGTCAAAATATGTAACTAAATTTTGTCACGTATTTATATTATTTTTATTGTTGGATTAACCTTTTATAGTAGTTATAGATCATTTTTCTTATACGAATTTCTTTTTAAAAAAAAGGTATAATTTAATGCAAGCAAAAGAAATTTGTAAAAAGTGGCAAGATAATTAAAGGTACTTATTGATATCGAGTCTCCAACTCATTAGGTTTGAAGTTACTAGGGTGACCTGGGGTAATTCCTGAACAAAAAATGCAAACATCTATTTTGTGAAAAAATATTCAAGATAGAATTTTAATATTTACTGGAAGTTTAAGGGTTTATGAGAGGAGTCTTATGCTACCTTTTGTTTGAAAATCTAATTAGAATTTAAAGGATTTTAAATTTTTAGTGATCAGGAATTACCCTTTCTCTTGATCATTTCTGAGGTAATTCCTGATCACTTCTGGGGTAATTACTGATCACCAGTTTTTATAGTAAAGGAGCTGTTTAAAAGTAATTATACAATGGTAATTAACAAATAAGACATCAAGATCAAACAAATAAACCAAAAATATATGTTAAGCAGCTAATAATACGATTTATTTAAAAGCAAGAATAAATATTAACACTTCACATTTTCCAAAACTCTTTGCATTGTGCCATACATTTTAGGCAAGCAGCCAGCTCATTCTCATGTTCTGCTGGAATATAAGAAAGAGTTCCCACATGGGTTACTTTTGCTGGACTTTTTAACTTCATTAAGTGAGAGTGTAAAGTTAAGTAAGGTATGTTAACAGCTCTCACACTGAAATTTTCATTTTCAATCATTAAAAGAAATTCACTGATTTTGCTTTCAAGAAGCTTAGTATCCTTTTTAGGCTTATAATTTCTCACCATATTTATATTAGGTTAATTTATAAACTTAAAAATTATTCTAACAATGTACACACATAAAATTAAGATAGAAGGAAGGTAAGACAAACCAGAAATTGTGCAAATCAGAATACATTTGTCTTGTATAGAGTTAAAAACAAATTTTGTGATTACAGTTAAAATATATTTTATATTTGTTCCACTTAATAAATATGAACTGTTATTTAAGAAAAGACAATTCGCTATTTTTTTATACTATTTTATAAGAGAAATGACAATGATCAGGAATTACCCCAGTGATCAATAATTACCCCATCTGTAGGGGGCAACATTTGATATAGTTTCCTATAATCAATAACAATGTTTACAGTAGCTGTGAAACAATTAAACAAAAGCTTACACTATTTTTATATCAAAGAAAAATAAAATAACTCAAAATATTTATTATTAAGAGAAGGAGGGGGATCTTTGCAGAAATGTGCACATTTTGAAATGGAAAATACAGAAAGCAGTTTAAAGGATACTTATTTTGTTAGATTAAAAAAAACTATTATTAAGTAAATGTAGTTATACTTTAGTAAAGTGTACAAGCATTCTCGTCCATGTCTCAAACTTTAAAAAAAAAAAAAAAAAATTATTTGAATGTGGTTATAACTTAGATGATCACCCCAGAAACAAAGTGATCGTGAATCACCCCGGGTCACCCTACCAAGTTTAAAATAGTGTACCAGGCCACTGGCTCTCAACTGAAAATTTGAATATTCATTAAAAATTAAATATACTATACCTTTTTCAAAATATTTTTAAAAAGTTATGTTTGTAAATTGATAATTTTTTTAACAAAGAAAAAATATTATTTAAGTTAATTCAAGTGCTAGTTTATCATTTATTTATGTTTTTAACGCATGGCATGTGTTAAAAATAATATTGATAATTTACTGACTAAACTTAAAGTCCTGAACAAATTTCAAACTAATGAATTACTAAATTGACATATGAAGTTATTTTGTGTTCTACTTGGTACATACCAAAAAAATATTCTGCTTCATTTTAGAAAGAAGATTTAGCTGATATGGTAGAAGGAAATAAAAAATTGCGCTTTTTTCGCAATGGAAAACTTGGCAGGCATTTTTTTTTTTAATTAGATCATAAATTTTTTGAGTGTTGCAGGGCTGATTGTGCTCCGGAAAAAATCCTGATTTCCGGATTTTTCGCTAACAGTGATCCGGAAGTTTCCGGAGATCGAAAGTACAAACGTTTCAAAAAATCATTGATCACTTAAGTTTCCGGAAATCAAATTTTTAAAGGTGGAACTTAAAAACACAGTTTATTTAATTTGTTTGTAAGGGAGAGCCACAGAGATACTTTATAAGCTTATATTCATGATTAATATTCATTTTTTATCACTAAATAGTTGTTATAATCATAAACTCAAAAAAAATAGAAGACATATTTGTAAATTTTAATTACTTCTCCAGGTCATCATAGGTATGTGTAAATAGTATAGTTATGTGTAAAATTGTAAATATATTTTTAGTAAACTAAGAAATATTGAGAAAAAGTTTAAATTTTTTTCAAATTTTTCAATTTAAACTTTTTTTTTTTTTTTTTTTTCCAAATTCAGGAAATTTTCCGGAATTTTGATTTGGGCTCACAATCACCCCAGGTGTTGTCTAAATTTCCCCCAAACCTTGTTCCTGTGTGTAATGGGACACATTTTGCACCACTTTAGTTTCATAGTTCTACATAGATGTAAAATTCTTAGTAATATTTTTCTGAAAGTTCTTACTTAGATTGTATTTCTGGAATTTAATTGTTTTAAAAAAGGATTTTTCAAATTATAAAAAATAAGTCCCTCTTCTTCTAGTTATAATTTTTTTAAGGTAATTTTTTAAAATAAATTTTGATAATTTTTTTAATATAATCAGTATTATTAGATGATTAATATGAAGTGTTTGTGATCTTAGTAAGTAACAATTTATAGCAATTTAAATTAAATTATATTGAATAAAAGCTTTGAAAAATAATCTGTGTGTCCAAAATTGTTCGTAAAAAACTGTTAACTATGAATAATTAGTATCCAGAATAAAAAATCATTGGAATGTCTGTATAACAATAAAGTAAATATAGCACATTTTTAGAAAATTCCCTGAAATTGAATAATTTTCCTAAAAAAGTCTTTATTGAAATAGCATTTTTGCACTGATTATTGCTTGCTTGAATATTTAAATGCGTATATTACTGATCATCATGAAGTGAGTCTCATTTATAGAAATCAGGTTAAAACTTTTTTTCTTATATTCAGAATTTCCTTTTTAAATTAATTAAATCTAACTATCTTTGAATTAAATGCTTATAACTACTCAAAATTATGAGTAAACATGATGCATAGCATTTCAAGCTCATTTAATATCAATCATACCTAGAAAATATTGCAGTTCTTCTATTTTGATGACTATAAAAATCTCTAAAATTCCCTATATGTATTTAGTACATTATGAAATTTATATTATTTCGTAAAATCAACTGGATTTTTCCTGTCCGTGTTGGTAGCTATGTGGTTATATATTAAAGCATTCCTAGCAAAGTTAAGTATTCTACTAATTAAATGTGCTTAAAGCTAATAAATTTATTTCTCCTTGTGTATATAGATTGGAGAGTTTGGCAAAGAATGTGCTGCAAAATGGAATGCCATGAATGAAGAACAAAAGGAACCATTTTTGGAGTCTGCAGGCAGGGACAGAGAACGATACAAGCGTGAGGTAAGATGGACAAAACTTTTATAATCGTACTTGAATTGCTAAGTTAATGATAAATTATTATAAAGTTCAGTTTAGTATTTATTAAAATGTTTAAACAATATTCAAGTTGAGCTCAAATGAATTTTATTCTTTACAATGTTGATACCATAACTCAAAAAAATCTCAAAATTTATACAGGTCTAGGCAAATATGTTAATCTATGAAATGCATGTTCAAACAAAATTTTCATATTTTTTCCAATGCTTATTAAGAAGAACCTGAATGTACCTATTATGTAAAAAATAATAATTATACACCCTATTTTTTAATATTCTTGAATTTCTTATTTTGTTTCTAATTGTCCTTACGTCAAACATTAAAATCCCTTATACTAATACAAGCCTTATGATAAAAAAAAAATTTATTTTTGCTGCGAAAATCTCAAAAATGTCAAAATTTTATAATTTTATGTTACTGAAATATTAATTGTAAGGCAAATAAATTTGAAACGAAAAATGTTTTTCATTTATTTACTTATGCATAAGTGAAAAATTAAAGATTGTAGAGTTCCTCGATTAAAATAAATCAAAATACAAATGATTGAAAAATTTAATTTAACTGACACATCTTCGAAAAGTCAGCTTTGCTATTTTTGTGGCCTTATTCTATAAGTAGGTCTAATTTCTTTGAAGTCCATTTTTTATTTTTAATTTATGTAAATTTGAATTATAATACAAATTACATTTGACTCAGTTGAAAGAACAAAGAACATTATTGATTTTCTCTTTTTGATGCCTTTTTACATTATTCTTTATCTACTACTTTCATTCGCTAAAGCAAAAAGTGTTTAAAAGCTGTCTCGAATCTTAAATCCTTGCAAAATGATTGGTCAAATAGCAAAATTTTAAATATTATCAACAACCAATGCAATTCACAAAATTTACAAGTCTCAAACAGTAACCTTAATGGCTTTTTCCTTCTGTTATTTGATACTAGCAAAGTTTTATTCTATTTCAGTTGACCTTACCAATTTCAATCAATCCATTCAATTTGCTGGATTTTTCTTTGAGAATTGCCAAATCTAGTTTTTTTCTTGCTTGATTTTTTTATTGACAATGTATCCGTGCACCTGGAAAGTCATGAGGTATTGAACAAAATTTGTCATGAAATGTCCTGATGGTAATTATTTTTTTTAAAAAAAATCATGGAAAGTCATGAATTTAGGTCNTTGATTTTTTTATTGACAATGTATCCGTGCACCTGGAAAGTCATGAATTTTGGTATTGAACAAAATTTGTCATGAAATGTCCTGATGGTAACTATATTTTTTTTAAAAAAAAATCATGGAAAGTCATGAATTTAGGTTGCCAAAAAATCTAATTGTCAAACTGGAATTTACCCCTCCCCCCAATTACTTGGAGTTCCGAATATCTGAATTTGTAACGAACTCCCCACTCATAGTCATATTTTATTAAAATATAAAATGTTTTTATCATGTTCTTTAAAAATTGTGTTCTTTCAAAAAATAAGAAGAAGAGAAAAAACTTTATTTTCTACAGCAAATTATCTTTTAAACTTCTGTGATTTCAGAATTTTTATCATTTATTTTTTTATTTACTCAATTTGGAATTCCATCTGAAGCAAGCCAGTGATTGGCAAATTATTTTTATTCCGAAATGATAACAGATAAATCAGAAGTATTTCTTTCCTTTCCCTTGAACAAGAAAAGTATCTTTAGAATATAATTCTGCAGAAAAAAGAAGAAGAAAAAATTACTTTTGAGCTATTTTATTGCTTCAAATCTTTATTTTCTCTGTTTTTTAAATTAAAAATCTATAAATATGAAGATGCAGAGTATAACAGTTTTGGTTACACCTATCATTTCAATCAATGTTATTATGATGCTTTTTTAAATTTACTGTTGTGTTTTTGTCGGAGAAAATAGTAACTTCGTAAAGTCATGAAAAATTCTTGGAATTAGTCATGGAAAGTCATGAATTTGAAAATCTAAAATGTAGCAGATACCCTGTATTGATACTTAATATGTATTTTTCTTATAACTCCTTAATTGAATTTTTAATCATCATTTATTTTAGATGTCAATATACAAACCAGCTAGGGATGCAAATAAACCAAAACGACCTGGAACTGCATTTATGATATTCATGGCTGATTTCAGGAAAGAAATGGCTGGCAAAGAACCTGAAGGTGGTGTTGCAGCTATGGCAAAACTAGGTTTGTGTTTATTTTAAAGAAATTTGATTACTTGATTTTGTGATATAATTTTATTTGTTGGACTAAGTTCATCTCATTCAGTTACTCTTTAATTTGTTTACATTTTCAGTAATATTAATTTGGTGTATTAGAAACGCCATATTTTTCAATGTATTAAGTCAACTTTCCAACCTTTTTTAATTACAAATGGAGTTTCCTTTTATGCTTGTATTAAGTTCAGATATATGCTGATCTTTAGATCAAATGAAAATGATCTCTAAAGGTCATCATGACTAACAATGAATGATCTATAAAGATGTGACGAAGTAGGTCTTAATATTTCTGGATGCATCTTCTCTCTCTAAAATTATTTTTCTTATAATTTTTTGCACTAGTTTTTGCAATTATATTAAGTTAAAAAAAAATTTAGTTCAGTCAAATCAGTTGACTTTATATTGGAAATTATGGCTAGTATTTGAATAATTTACAGCAGGGTTGGCAAGCTTCTTGCATAACACTTATGAGGAAATAACTTTCTTTTAAATGAAAAAAATATATTTTTCTAAATCATAGTTCAAGTTCTTCAATTTTGCTGATATAATTTATTTTCATAGTTATTAATTTCTCCCTTTCAAACTTGTTGTTGTATTGTACTATTATTAATTAGATAAAAAAATTTAAAAAGTGTAAGTTTGTTTCAGTAATTAAATTGTATAACTCTGAAATATTAATTATTTTGGAAGTTCAATTTCGTTCAACTTTTTTTTATGGTAGAACAATTTTATTTATTTATTTTTTTAGCTATGAAAAGTAATGATTTATTGCACAAATGGATTAACTTCATTAAACAAAAAAATGAAGTCTAGATTACTACCTCTAAATTAAATATTCATTATGAATTCTGTAATAAAATTATTATTAGAGAAATTTTGTATTAAATGTAATTTTATATAGAGCTATGATGGAACAAATTTTATTAACAGTTATACTCAAAATATTCCCTTAAATTATGGTAACTGATTAGTGCAGTAAATGCGAACGGTTCAAATAATCTGAATATTAATTGAACAGACCTCATAAGGCAGGGGTGGTGAACCTTTATGCACCAACGTGCCATTTTTCAAAAAATTGTTTAATGAAGTCATAGACGTGCCGTCAAATAATTTTGACTTTGTGATTATTGGGAAAATAATAATACTATCAACTCAAAACTATGAAGAAAAAAATTACATTTTCCAATGTCTCAATTATACGCTTAATTCAACTTAAAGTAGCATCAGTATGACTTCTGTTATTGCAGATTAGACGACAAATAGCTTATATTAGGTTGTAAGATGTTAGTTTAAGCAGGATTTTTTTTTTTTTTTTTTTTTTTTTTTTTTTTTTTTTTTTTTTTTTTTTTTTTGCTCGTTATTTATTGTTAGCTCGTTTTTTGTGGTTATTATTTGTTTTTTTGTGAATTTTAATTTAATTGTTAATATGCTTCATAGTGAAATTTGTGATCGGTGGCGTGCCCAGAATATTGTGTAGCGTGCCATTTGTTCGCCATCCCTGTCATAGGGCAATTTAGTTATTGGAACAAACTTATGCCTGTGCAAAAAAATTGGAACACTATAATCTTTCTAAGATCATTTATAAACTGATCTACAGAATCAATAAAGTTGTTTTTTTTTTTAATTAACATCAAATCTTTAAAGAATATTTTCAGAAAATATTGTGTGCAAGTATTAAATGCGTGCAAGTTCCGAAAACAAGCTTGTGCTAAGAAAAAAATTCATACTCTTCAGCTTATCAGCGGAAGTAGAAGTAAAAATAATAACCAGCGATGTAATATAAATTCTTGTTTTTTATTAATATCTGTGGTAAGTAGATATATTTTACTTTTATCAGATTTAATGAGATGCAACGAATGAAGTAAGCTCGACTACTTTATGACCAAATCTCTGCCTGGTGTTTTGAAATATATTGGTTTTAGATTAAATTATATTTAATTTTGTAGAATCATCATTTATTCTAAAGAAATCATTAATTTGATGATTCAGGGTTGCCACGGGTGACTAAAATGCAACTATTTCCGGCATGAGGTGACTGGTAACTTTTTTTGCCTGAAAATGGTTTTTAAGAAAAGCACCTATTTTCAGGAAAAGGCGACTGTTGGGAGACTTTTCTGTACTCTAGCAATGTTTTTTTTTTTTTTTTTAAGCATAAATTTGGTTGAAAACCTGCAGCCCGCAGGAGCTTCCGAACACGCTAAATTTTTTCTTCTTAAAAAATCTTGAATGGCAAATTTGAGTTCATCACTTTTAAATATGTATATATCCTTTTGCACAGATTCCATTGTCAGTCAATTTCGTTTTTAAATCGTCCTTTTTTTATTAATTATTGCTATGAAATTCCTCATGATTTTTTAAAAAAAAACTTTTTTTATAGGATATTGCAATGCGTGAATTTAAAAGGGAAATTTTTTTAAATATTTTTTTTTTTTTTTTATCAAAAAGTATTTTTTTGAATGAATTCTAGTAATTGAAAGAATTATTTTTCCGCGAATATTCTAATTGTTTTGATTTAAAAACTTAATGCTGGAACACTAATGTTTATGTAAAAATTATCATACTTGTCACCAACTTGACTAAATGGATCGTGGTATGGACAATTAAGTCATTTAATAAAATTTTAGTCATATTTTTGATGAATTTTTGTTCTTATTTAGGCAACTATTTTCGTAGTTTTCAGCAACTACTTTCATGCTTTAGGTTACTAAAAGCAACTATTTTGTTCATTTTTTTTTCTGTGGCTACCCTGTGATTCAATGAAATTAAATTTATTATTAATTTTAATGAAATTAAATTTAATAGATAAATTCTATTTGTTTACTTTACTTTCCCTCTGTATTTTTATAATAGTTAAAGTTAACTTTAATGATTAAAGCTTTTTTTTAAATTTCTGTGCCAATACTTGGGGTTTGCAAAATTAAGCAACCGTAATCTCTTAATTCAGCATTTGGCAATTTTTTTACCACTCTTTGTGTGTTAAAATACAAATATATATTTATATATCAGGGGTCTGACTAAGTTTTTTTGAGAGGTACCTAGTTTGTAAAAATTAAAAATTATATTAACAAATCAACACAAAAATATGGTAAAGTAAGAAAATATTTTCAAACATTGTCACTACAAATGAAAATTATTTAGGACTGGTAAATTTCTATATATTTTTCCCCATATATTAAAAAATAATTTTGCTATTGTAAAATTTTGGGCTTAAAATTGTACCCAAATTTAAAAATCATTGTCAATAATTAAATTTCAACTTGAATTTAATAAAAACATGCATTTAACAGTACTAGCACTAAAAGTTATTTTCATTATGAGAACATTTTCGACTAGGTCATACAAAAAAAAAAAAAATTCATAAAAAATTAAGGTCTGATAGAATAAATTTACAATAGTGTTTAAGATAATGTGCGGATTTTGACTTTCTGTAAAGTTTATAGAGGGCTCATCGTTTCATTTTAAAAGACTCAACGAAAAAACCTCGCTTTGATATGGCGTAAGTGACCATTTAGGCTTACCTCATTGCACCAACTGACCTTTTTGTAAAAGACAGCTGGCAAAAAAGCTCTTTTCCATAGATTGCAATGAAAACGGGGTTTGTATGAGAACTTGCTTTTTCAAAAGTATTATGTGAAACTACCATTTTTCCTAAAGTTGAATTTGTGAAGGTACCTCTAAACAGTAGTAAATTTACCCTGGACTGNTATATGTTAAAGTAAGAAAATATTTTCAAAAATTGTCACTACAAATAAAAATTATTTAGAAATGGTAAATTTCTATATATTTTTCCCCATATATTAAAAAATAATTTTGCTATTATAAAATCTTGGGCTTAAAATTGTACCCAAATTTAAAAATCATTGTCGATAATTACATTTCAACTTGAATTTAATAAAAACATGCATTTAACGGTACTAGCACTAAAAGTTATTTTCATTATGAGAGCATTTTCCACTAGGTCATACAAAAAAAAAAAAAAAAATTTCATAAAAAATGAAGGTCTGATAGAATAAATTTACAATAGTGTTTAAGATAATGTGCGGATTTTAACTTTCTGTAAAGTTTATAGAGGGCTCATTGTTTCATTTTAAAAGACTCAACGAAAAAACCTCGCTTTGATATGGCGTCCATTTAGGCTTACCTCATTGCACCAACTGACTTTTTTGTAAAAGACAGCTGGCAAAAAAGCTCTTTTCCTTAGATTGCAATGAAAACAAGGTTTGTATAAGAGAAATTGCTTTTTCAAAAGTATTATGTGAAACTACCATTTTTCCTAACGTTGAATTTGTGAAGGTACCTCTAAACAGTAGTAAATTTACCCTGGACAGACCCCTGTGTATATATATATGTATACAGTCAAACCCCGCTATAGTGAACTCCCGGATATAGTGAACCAAATGTTCAGTCCCGTGCCTTGCTATACACGCATAATGTTATTTTTTGTGGATATAGTGAACCAAAAAAGTGAGGAAGTTGGATATAATGANAAAATTTTTTTTTTTTTTTTTTTTTTTTTTTTTTTTTTTTTTTTTTTTTTTTTTTTGACATTTTCAGGGAATATAAACTATCCAAATCTTGTAACATATGGAAAAATAGGCAATTAATAATTTCGGCTCATGAAAAAAATTTAGATGGCAGAAAAAATTTGAGAAAAGCAGATCACAAGGATGTTGAAGAAGCATTACTGAAATGGTTCACCATTCGAAGAAGCCGCAATCTGGACTAAAGTGGATAAATTTGCTAAGTGATTTTATGAGACTACTTTCATGTGCTCGAATGGCTGGTTGAACAGGTTTAAAAACGAAATAACAGAAATTCAGGAAAAATTATCTGAGAGTCGGGAAGTGTTTCCATAACTGATATTGAGGATTGCTCATCAGCTAAAGATTACTAATTTTTTTGTACGCAAGACGAAGAGTAATGAAAAATAACACTTTTTTTGCTACTACATAATATTTTTCGGTCATTTATTTGAGTAATGTGTAATAAAAGGGACGAGTTTGGGAACCATTTGTTATATTGCCTGCGTTACGGATATAGTGAACACCCGGTTATAATGAACTGAAATTTTGGTCCTTTGAAGGTTCACTATAGCGGGGTTTGACTGTATATTGAATTTTACAGTTAAGTGCAATAATTTGAGAAAATTGTCACTTTGTTATTTATCAGGCAATGTAAGGGAAATTCCATGGTTATTCTTGTTGCATGTATTAATTAGCTAATATAAAATCAATTTAAAAATAAGTAATTATGTAAACTTATTTTTTGCTTTAAAAAAATTTACAATTGTTTGCATATATCTTTAAATCTATGTCTATGAACTTAGTTGCTTAGAACGTTAGTTATTTAATTACATTTGCTATTATATGTCAATTGTCTAGATAAAGCAAATGTCAGCTCTTAAAGAAGGAGGGGAAAAATATCACAAATAACCGAAGGAGAATAGATTATACTTTTCTATGAATGAATATAACAAAACAATGTGAATTGAGCACAAATAAAAGTTCCGAAATGGATATACAATAGTTTCAGTCTTTTAAACTTAATCTTCATCAATGTCTAAAATCAAAATGGATATTGTGTTATGACACTGAAGAAAATTCTTGTTTACAGCAATAAAACTATAGTCTGTCTATTTCTGTAATCTTTATTTGTGCATTATTAACATTTTGATTTCCAGTCATACTTTCAATATAATTCAGTTGCACTGTCAAATTCAAAGTTGCCAACTCTACTGATTTTTGCTGTGTGTCTTGTTTCAACTGGACATAATTCATCTGCTATTAAAAAGAAATATGAATGTCAGAAGAAATTGAATGGCGATTCAAAATGTTGATGCAGGCAATTTGTTAATCTAGTTTATTATTTTCTTGATATAATCTAATATGTTAGATTTACTCTATCAATTCAAAAATAAATTAAATCCTCTGGGTATAAGATGTTCTAGTTTTATTTTATTTTTTATGAATGCTGTCTTGTATATAAAAATCATATACGATTCATANATTGAATGGCGATTCAAAATGTTGATGCAGGCAATTTGTTAATCTAGTTTATTATTTTCTTGATATAATCTAATATGTTAGATTTACTCTATCAATTCAAAAATAAATTAAATCCTCTGGGTATAAGATGTTCTAGTTTTATTTTATTTTTTTATGAATGCTGTCTTGTATATAAAAATCATATACGATTCATAAAGGCAAAAGCTATTTTTAGGGATAAAAGATCTGTGATTTGTATTTAATGTAATGTTTTTATCTCATCATGTTAGATTCTAGGTATTTACAAGCAAATTTTCTTGCATAAAATTTTAGGTGGTGAAAGGTGGAGAGGTATGACCGATGATGATAAACAGCCTTATGTAGAACAGCAATTAGAAGCAAAACTTCGATATGAGCACTCCATGGAAGAATATAGGAGAACTGTGAGTTTTGATTCTGTGTGTCCTCTAAATTCATGATAATTCTCGTAATAATGGTTTTAAAAAATATCTAATTTAGAAGAAATGTATTGATTCTGATTTAAATCCAGGATTTTTGACCCACCCACAGAAGAAAAAAAAAACAATAAATCCAGGGTTCAAATGGTTTTTTTTTTTTTTAAATTGGAATAGATTAATAAAGAATACGATAAAAGAGAAATAAATTTAAGGGATTTCATATTTATCTTAAATGTATTGATAAATAAATTTTCAAAACTAACTATAAATAACATAGCTTAAAGTGTAATTCCTAAAACTACTAAGAAAATTGTTAAATAAGCAGTTCTGTAGTTAATTGGCCTGCAAAAGGCTTACTTTATAACTAAAAAAAATAAGGCTATAACTTATAAATGTTTAATAATAAATAAAACAGAAAACAGCATATTTCTCTGATCCCAATATTATGATTTTATTTTTACTCCAAGAAAAAATTACTTTAGGAGTCTATTATTAATACAGTACAGAACCCGTTATCCGGAAATCAGAAAACCGGAACAAAATTCGATAAATTTTCCCTCCATTTTTAAAAAAAAAAAAAAAATTAAAAAAATTTTTTTTTCCTCATAAGATTTTAGGATTTTTTTTCTTTTTTGAAAGATGTTTACCTTACCATCATTTTGGAAATAATCATTAGTGTATTACTCCATCGTGTTTTCTTCTTTTTAAGATTATTTCCAAAAGAAAAAAAAATTTTTTTTAGTTGGGTTTAACAATAGAAAAAACTGCTTTTTGTAGCGATTCAGAAATCCGGAAAAATCACTTATCCGGAATAGCCATGGTCCCGATCGTTCCGGATAATCGGTTTCCTACTGTACATGGTATGAAAAGATAGTACACTACATTAAAATTAAAACTTATTTATTTTAATTCATAACTTTATTTTTATTTCCATAAAAAAGTTTTCTTTTTGTTAATATTGTTCCCTTGTTAATTAAAAAACCCACCCGGTTTTTTTTCTTTTTTTCTTAAATAAAAAAAACTTTTCTTTTTTTAAACCCTGTTTAAAACCAAATTTATTAGGGAACCATTGTAAAGCTTTTTTTTGGTGTATTTTATTAATCAGAAATTTATTTTTTATTGTATCTGTTTCATTAATTTTTTTTATGAAGTTTTACAGTATATAACAAAGCCAAATGAACTATTAAAAATGCCCAAAAAAATCATTTTTTTTTCTAAATTTTTCAGATCTTAGTTTTGTTTAATTGTCATTTAAAAAATATCCTTCACAGAAAAATATAAATTGAATTGCCCATGTTTCCCTAATTTTCTTAATTTGATCTTGTTCGTTGCTGAATTTTAGCTAGCTCTAAGTATCTTATATATCAATCTATGCAATAAATTCAAAACGTATTAGACGATGATAGGCAAGAAAAACTTTTTACAGGTTAAACCTGTGAACCTTTTTAAAAAACTGTACAAAAATATTTTTTTAAAGCATGGTTACTTACCTGTACTGAAAAAGAAGGAGATAGCATTAACACTTCTATAAACTTACATGTTTTAAACTGTTGAAATACATATAGTTGTAAAAGTGCCAGAATATTAAAAATTGCTAAAAGCAGTCACTAATCATAGTCTGAATCTTGA